TGGTGAGAAATACAGAAATAGATGAAAAGGAAGAGATTAGAACAAGGCTAGAGGACAAACGAGGGTCATGCCAACTTTGGGAAACTGGTGCAGGGACAGGATAGAAAGAGAGGAGGAAGAAATAAAAAGAACAAGGCAGAACAACAACAAAAACTAGAAACCATGTTCACACTCATATAAAAACAAGAACAACAATAAAAAAAAAAACAAAACAAGAAATAAAATGGGGGGGAGCAAACACAACAAGAAAACAAAGTTCACTTCAAGGTGTATCTTTGCTGCCACTGGTAGACAAAATGAGCAGACAGAGTGCAAATTCACATGGATCAAGCCCAGCAAACCAGCAGTGGCAAGTCTACACCCCTATTTACAGTGAAGTTCAGGCTGGCTTCTGACTGTGAGACTGAAGCCAGACCTTCCCAGCCACAACAGTCCCCAGGCCTCCAGCAGTTTTGAGCTTGGCTGGGAGCCACTAGGTAGAGCCAACAGCCATTATGAGTCCTCCACCCAATTGACCTCTCTCCAAAATGGCTTGAGCCAATCACCCTCTTTTGCAGGACATTCAAAACAAGCAACTGATCAGTCACTGCAGTCTGCCGCATCTGTGGCTCATTTCTACTGGTACCCTTCTTGTGGAAGCCTCTGGGGTTGCCAGAAGTCACTGCGAGTCTGTGAGTTCAAATAGCCCCTCTTACACAGTGAGTCTGGGCTCAGGAGGAAAGCACTGCTTGCCTCCTCTTTCTCCTTCATTGAAGTTTCTCTTTGCTTTCCCCACGGACTTCGGTTTTCACCTCAAATCCTTCCCAGAGACTGACCCACTGTCCTCCTTCTCTTCTTCACATTGCTATGTCCTAGAGTCTGCACAACAAGCCTTGAAGAGGCTCTTTCTTTCCTGATCACCATTCTGCTATCTTCCCAGAAGTCCTGAGCTCTTTTCATTCAGTCTGAAAATCTCGGCCTGTTAATTGAAATGTTTAGACAATTTCCATCTAATATGACTATTGACAGATTTAAGCATGAATGGACTATCTTGATAGTTGTTTTTTTCCCATTGATTCTTTTTGTTCCTCTTTTTTTGCCTTCTTTTGGATTAAATACATCACTGGTGGTTGGATTTCACCGCTACTGTTAGCTTATTACTACCATCTTTGTTATTTAATTTTGGGTTAATGTGTGTAGCTGCTTAAAATACACATTTTTAACTTATCACAATTTGCATTTATATGCTATTGTACTACTAATACCAGTATTACTCCATTCCCTCCTTCCCATTTGTTTGATATTACGTAGCTTACATCTGCATACGTTATAAAATATTACTGATTTTACTTCAAGAAATTATCTTCTGAGTTAACTTTAAAATAAAAATCATTTTAATTTACCTACATATTTACAATTTGTAGCTCTCTTTGGATACTTCTAAATTTCTCCCTTAAGAATATCTTTTAACATTTATTAAAGTTCAATTCACAATTTTTTCAGCCTTTTTTACTATCTGTTTCATATAGAATTCTAGCTTATCAAAGTAATTTTATCCATTTGGGATTTTTTAAATTTATTGCTTTTGTTGTTGTTGTTGTTGTTATTGTTGCTCTTACTATATGTAGAACTTTAAAGGTAGTGATTCACCATCTCCTGGTTTTATAGTTTCAAAGAGGAAAATTGGTAGTTCTATCTTTGTTCTTTGGTCCATAATATGTTTTCCCCTTCTGGTTACTTCTAAAATTTTCCTTTAAATGACTGTTTTTTATAAATTGGGTATGCTATAAGGTGACTTCTTTGTGTTTATCCTGCTTAAAGTTCCTTGAAATGTTCAGAGAAGTATGCTTATAGTTTTCATCCAATTTGGAAATTTCAATATTATTTCAAGTATTTTTCCTTCTCCATTTGCTATTGTTTGTGTCTAGATGTCCTCCTAACCTCAAAGCCTCATGCACTCATAGGCAGGGCTTTTGAAAGCTGACTGGGTGTTGCAGCTGACTGGCTGTTAGGAGGAGGGTCTGTTCAAAAGAGGCAGGAAGTGGGATCATGATCCGGGAGGATTTATCTCCCTTTTACTCTCTGCTTCCCAGATACCTTGAGGTAAACATGAGCATTTTTATCATATGTTTTCAGTTCAGTTCATAGCTGGCTGTCTCGATCCAAGGTGCATGGATCTGGAGGAGGAAAGCTGTGTTCTGTCATTTTGAGTGTGTTTATAAGGATTGAGTTTTCTACTGGATTTGGATCGTATTTTTCTGTTTTCCTGTGATTAGTGATTTGAAGCTGAATGTTGAGATTTGTTAATTTTATGCTGATAAATTCTAGATTTTATAGTCTTTCTTAAAGAACTTTGCCCCTCAACAAGAGTCAGATTACTTGACTTGATCTTTTTGAAGATTGTAAGCTTCATAAACTATCTTGAGTAGATTTTACTCTAAAAATAGTTTAGTATCACTATTAAGGCCTGACATCTCCAAATTTTCCAACAAGTACCCCAAGTTTTCAACAAAGAGTCTCCATTCTGACCTCTCTAATCATAGTATCTTCTAGCCCTTTATGTTCTGAGAATCAGCTTAAAGTGTTTTCACCATTCTTTAATGTTGTGGAATTTCTCCCTGCGTATGCACAGAAATATGATCTTCAGCAGACTCAAGGAAGTTGTTATAAAAGTTTCGGACCTCTTTTCTTCCATAACTGCTTCCTCCCTAATACTCTACCCCAACAATTACAGTTCCTAAGCTTCCTTGCAGTCTCTATCACACTACAGCTTAACAACTCTGTGGTGCTGTTTTTTATCCTACTCTTTGAGGTGGGAGTGGAAAGTGCCTCCAAGCATAGAGTAGGGCAATGGTAGGCCCACCTTGTTTATTTCTCCACTTTAAGAATCATACACATAGCCTGCCCGTTATCCAACATTCAAAACTGTTGCCTCATGTACTTTCACCAGTTTTTCAGTTGTTCATGATGAGAGGGGAAATCTAGATCCATTTATTCTATCACAATCAACAGCAGTCATTTGCCCCAATTTGATTTTATTTGTTTTAAAAACACAAACATAAAAACCCCACAAACTCATTGATTACTTTGGAGACAAATTTTCCCTGAAAAGTTTGAAAGAACTGATTAAAGAGAATGAATTGATAATAACTGTTGCATTGTATATGGTAGTTTTTTGTGATGATTTAATTAAATGAATTAGAGAGGAAGGAATTAGGAACTATAGAATCATTGGAAAGCCATTTCACAGCAAGAAGGACTATGTTATTCAATATTTTTAGATTCCTTGACTTTCCATAGATTTCTTCTTGCAGGTCAGACTAAATCAGCCTAAGGTTGTAAGCAGCCTCTCAATAGCAGTTACTTAATATAACAAAGTTTCCTCTTATTCTTCTGCCCATCCATCACCGGTTGGATTATCAGTCTGCTCCCCATCATCTTCATGCCATTGTTTCTCACCTGAAGGAATAGTGCCCATCGAGGGCACTACAGTTATTATAGCAGAGGAAAAGGGCAAATCATGAAATTTCCCTAAAATCTTCTGCCTTAAAGTTTAATATTTCCTTCACCACGTGGGCCAAAGAAAACCAGGTGGCCATGTAATGCTTCAACAAGGCAAAGATGTAGACTACTTCTATAGACAGGAGAAGTACAGGAAAAAGGTACTTTATAAATATTAATACAACTAATTAAACTTCCTTGTGTGCAGCATCTTATACTCTGTCTTACAGTAGTTCTTACTAAAAAGTTAGAAAGAACCAGAGGAAGCAGATAAACACTTAAATATTGTTTCCATTCCCAAATAGCATAAAGTCTACACTTAAATGACTGGAACAGCCATTATCAAAAGTAAAGGAGATCTACATTTGCTGATATATAGAGACAAAATACGTGAAGTAAACAACAGCAAAGTATTTACAAGCGCTATACTTTCACTTATGCAAGGAAAATATATTTGTATATCTGCACATGTGTAAAGGGAAATATCCTAAAAAGAACATCCAGAAAGTGATCTTTCTAAAATGACATTGAGAAGATTGTTTCTCTGAAAAACAATGTAAGGAGTTAGATGGAAAGACACTTTTTGTACTATTTAGTTTTTTTTCAAGGATGTTCATCATTTTCTTACTAAATTTTAAAAGTTGCCATCTTAGTGTACACTGAAGGGTTTGAAATTGGTCAAGCAATTTCCCCAACAACATTCCAGTATTTTCCAGAGTAAAGACAATACCATACTGCAGAATGACCACAGCAGAGGTCAGAGATTCCATGTACAGCAACCTGTCAAAATCACATCAGCAAGTCTTCACAGTTTTCAGAGATCAGCTTAAAGGAAAAAATTGCATAAAGTGAAATTAAATTCTCATGTGAATTCCTTAGGGTAAAACTGAAGTTGTGTTTTTTCATCTCACACAGATACATTTAACTGGGAATGCACTGATTCTAGACATCAAGGAGCTGAATGCTTAGTTGTATTTGTATCCTGCCATGTTTTCCTCCCTCAAAAACTGCTATAGAAAACCATTCCATATCTTAGGCTGTGGAGACATTCTACGACATCTACCTCTTGAACATGGAAACACAAAATTTCCAGAATGCTGACTCTTGAGTCAGTTACATGCCTGAACAAAACAACGAGCAGAACTACATTCCCCAGAATTCTTATTTCATTGTATTGGAGTCCGTGGACCTTTACAAAAGTGTAAAGTGAGTTCCTCCTTGGAATAGTGGGTATATTGAATAAAAATTCTTATTTTATTGTGGGAATTGAGAAGTCTTATAGTTACTGTTTGGCTCTGTTTTAGAAATTCTATAATGATAATGAATTATCTCTTGAAATTCTTCTGTTCTTATGGGAACAAAAGAGGGGCCATCCAAAGATGACAATCCCTAGAATCCACCAGTATGTTTGTTACATTATATGACAAATTACAGAAAAAAATATATTACATTGGAATTGAGATTGCAAATAGAATTAACACTGCCAATCTGCTGACCTCAAAATATTGAGTTTATCCTAGGTTACCCCTGAGGGCCCAGGGTAATCCAGAGGATCTCAAAGTAGAAACAGGAGGTAGAAGAGGAGTCCTTGTCAGAGTGATGATAAAATATGACAGAGATTTGACCAGCCACTACTGACTTTAGACAGACAAAGACCACCAGCCAAGGAATGAGGCAGAAGCTGGAATCCTCAAAGGTAAGTATTTCCCCTACAGCCTGCAGAAGAAACACGGCCCTCCTGGAATCTGTTTCGGTTCAAAAACTCTCAGTGAGCCCTTCTGACCTATTGAATTATAAGGTAATACATTTGTGTTCTTTTAAGCAATTGAATTTGTCTGACTTGTTCCACCAACAATAGGAAAGTACTACCTGATGTTTATTCTCCCATGTTTCAGAATATAAGGACATAGAACAGGGAGTCTTATTCAGAACATAAACAAGGCTGGAAGGAAAACTCAAACCATATTGTTTAAAGATATATGGGCAAGAACCATCTCTAGGGTATTTCTATGTTGTTTCAGTGGTTTCAAACAAATGGATTTACTTCAGAAATGACAGCACAGACAACTAAATATCTTGAATGAGAAGTTAGGAGAATATTAAAAAATAAAACCTGGCAAGGGTTTTCTTATTGCTTAATAGTCACTCCTACGATCATCATTTCTGCTTACTTTCTAAGAAAGCTACAGCCAGACTTAACAGAGAACTCATCCCGGAATTTTTTATACCAGTCTACGTTCATCACTTTTTCACCAGTGTAACCCACAAGAGATCATCACCTTTTATTAGCAACTGTGAAGCTGAACCACAGTGCGTTAATTTTCTAAATGAGATATTGGCGTCAGTATCACAAAAGGTTCAGAGAAGGTTGAACATTGTGGCATCACCATGGCAACCTGCTGAGATGTGAGCACCCAGGGGCAATGGACCACAGGAAACCCATTAGAAGGCTTTCCTCTGGAGACATGTTGTTTTTACTCAGCCACTTAAGGAATGATCAGGGCCACAAAGTCAAGGAAGCAATCACTCTTCTCTGGCTGTTGCAAAGAATGAAATGGAGTCTCTGAGCTCCTTTACACCCATTTGCACTGACATAACCTCAGAAAGGATTCCCCATTTCTGACTGGAAAACCACATTAGCAAAAGAGAAAAAGGTCTTATAAACACCAAGGGATATAACGGTTCAATGTTAGGTTGTTTGCTCCAATTTTTAGTTCCTGTATGGATTTTGTTTGTTTCTGTTGTTTGTTTTGTCAGAACAGAGGCAAGCATGTGAACTTGACATCTGGCGAAAAGTAGTCTAAGGGATGCAAATGTAAATAAGCAGAACAGGGCAGCTTCACTTAGGAGAACTTTGTGATTATTCTGGATATTCTTACAAGACCTGTCATTCATTATTTCTTTGTAGTTACCATTCAAAATCATAAAAATAAAGATACCTAAGGAGATAACTAAAAAATAGGAAGATAGTTATTAGAATTCACTGACTTTTAAGAGATAATGACACTGTGGAATTTGCTTTGCTCCTGTTACTTCTGTGCTTTTAATATTTTAATTCAATCTAACGGGTGGTTTCTACTTCATATATTTTTATGGTTAACATTTGGAAACGAGGAGGTTTGACAAAAGCTAGTTAATGCTAATCTATCAGTGTGCCGGGTGCTGATATTTTACAAGGGAAAACCAATTTGCTTAGACTGTTAGCAAAGTAAAGTTCATACTAGTCAATGTTTTATGTGAGCTGCTTTGGGATGATTTCTCAAGGACATATTATGCATTAGCCAATTAATATCACTGACGTCAATAGAAACCATAGTTTAGATTTATGCTATCACATACATAGGTTAGGGGAAATTGGTAATGAGTCACTAACAAAGGTTAATTCCAGGAAGACCTGATTATATTTGTACAACTACAGAATGTAACACTACTCTCAGCCTAAAATTTTCCAAATTCATTTTGTTGATCAAAACAGATTTATAACAGAGGTTTAAATTGTAATTGCTATTGTAAAACAGTAACTCATAAATCAGATGGGAACTAAGCTAATTGGCTATGTATATATGCACATAAATTTGGAAATTTACATTTTCTTAAAGTCTGTTATAGAAAATAACTTTTAGAATAAAATCTACCCGGGAATTGAAACTTTTTTGTTGATCTGAAGTCACTTTTGCTTTTGTTTAGGAACAAAAAATAATATGCTTATATTGTTCTTAAGATTATTATTTTCTTATATTTGAATATAAATACCTGGAATCGAAACATGTATAGGAAAAAATTCTAATATCAGGATAGGGAAAAGAAACAAAATATTGAAAAAAGAATTAAGAATTCATTTTTACTGAGTTAATAAAGCTTCACAACTTTCTATATGCATTTGTGTATTATTAAATATGAAATATTTCAAAAATGTCACTTCTCTTTTCACTTCAGTGTATTTATCCACATGCATCTGAATACACAAACTCATTTATCTCAGGAGTCTTATGTCTAAACAAATTGCAAAGAGCTGTAAATATTTCAAACCTAGAGCATAGTGTTCTCATTTATTATTGAAAGAACATGGTGATTTCCAAATGCATACATATACACGGAGAGACACCTCATGACTCAGATCCCTGGAAATATTGCAAGTATTTGTTTAGTTCACAAACTAGGAGAGGAACAGTAACCTACTCACAAACCCAAAAAGTTGTGCTCTACACAATAAATTGAAGCATGGATTAATTGTTTATCAGAAAGAATGGGCTATGGTTTTAGTCCAGCTTAAAGTAAGGGGCCTTCTTGGTGTCAAAAGCTCTCATATGTTTAAGAGAGGAGGTGGTGTACAAAAAAGCTAATGCAGAGAGCTGCTTATCATTGTCTTCCCATCCCAGCAAAGCAAAGATCTGGGCTAGAAATCAAACTAAGTGGAGATCAGAGCAATCGAAACAGTTCTATCATTTTCTTCACTAAAATCCATTCAAATAATGTCTCCTGGCCTAACAGAAAACTAAAAACCATTTGCCTAAAATGTGTTTGATAAACTGCTTTTCAGGGTTTTACGGTTCTTGGAATAAATATGAAACAGAAATCTGAATATTCAAAGACTATGGCAATCATTCTCTATTCTAGAACAGTAGCATAACAAGTCACATACCTCAAAATTCCAATTAATTGAGTTGAGTCACCATTTATTGTTAAGCTCCTATTCAATGAATGTAAGAGTTAAGAAAGCAGGTTGAGATCAGTTTAGTACATAATTATTTCCAAAATATATATCCCTAAACCAATTTCTATGGACCAAAAATCATAGGAAATTCATAGCCTACCTTAGTAAAGGACATGTTTTTCATTTATTCAGGTATTTGGTTGTTTTATGTAGTCATATCACCTGAGAGTCTCCCAGCATACTAGGTAGATTTTTTTTTGTTGCTTGGTTTCCATCTGAATAAAAGCATCTTATGTGAGTAAAAGAAGGAAAATAAAAACAAGAGAAAAGAAAATGGAAGGAAGAGAAAGAGAGAAAAGACACAAGGGAGACAGGGAAGGACATAAGGATGAAAAGAGGTAGCGAAGAATAAAAAATATATATTAATTCAACAAAGAGGTAAAAAAAAACATCCTTAGGTACGACTAGTATCAAACATTACTTCTTCTGTAATGTTATCTGATATTTACTCTTGTGGTTTTTTTGTCTGTAGGGTGATTTCCTTCTGACTAGCATTTTTAACAAACAAGAAGATTGAGATCTTAATTGTTTTTCAGTTGCTGAGACATAATGCTCAACACCCACAATTTAAGGAGGGTAGGTTATTTTGGTTTACGTTTCAGTGGGTTCAGTCTATGGCTAAATGACTCTTACAGAAATGGTACACAGAGGGGCAAGGCAGATGAAAAGTTGTTCTTGTCATCATAGAAAGCAAAGAGAAGAGGAAAGAACAAGGGCGAAAGGTGTACCCATTAAACTCATTCTCTCAGTGACCTGCCCCAGTCAAAACTCACTTCCTAATAACAGCTCTAAATTCCTCAGGGAGTTAATCCACCAGTGAATATAGCACCCCCAAATCCACTTGCTTTCCAAAATTCCAACCTCCAATTCCAAAATACTTGAAGTTTTGGGGGGACATTCTAGATCTCAAGCATAACAGATAGTCATCTGCAGATGCATAACCTCATAATTTTAGAACCTAAAATATCAAACGTAGGGAAAAAGTTGTCCTGACTTGTGACTGGTGCCTTCTCTGGGTAAATCTCTGTGGTCAAGGAGACAGGTCTCATAGCAGTTAGCAGCTCCCAACATGGCAAGGAGTAGGTTCCAAAAAGGAAGAGATCACTATGACCAGAAAAAAATGAGGATCTATTGCATGAAAGATAAAAAATGTCACATAAAACATACAATGTTTCAGATTCTATAGATACTCACGTTTTGTTGTGACTTTCACCTTAATTAGCTTGGGAGATAACCAGGTTAGTATAGCACGCTTCTGGGTAGATTTGAGTAGGGAATGGGACATAACCTTGGGGACTGTATCTGATTCCTAACCCTTTTCTCTTGGCCTCTTCCTTTGCTCCTTGCTTCCTGGTTGCTATTGAAGTAGACAGCTTTCCTGCACCATGTACTTCTCCCATGATATTTATGTCTTGCAACCAGTTAACCAAAGACTAACACTTCTGAAACCATCGGCAAAAAATAGACCTTCTCCTTCAAGTTCTGCATGTCAGGTATTCGGTCACAGAAATGAGAAATAATACAATGCTATAACTTAAAAACTGTGAATGATATTAGAAATTCGTGGCTCCAGATCGCCATCTTTGTGTTCAATTCTGAATACCTTGTATTAAAAGGGACCAAGATAAATTAAAAGATTGTCTACAAGAGTGTTGGTACTACAAGAAACTCAAGCATTAATTTAAACATAAGAGCCCCAAAACATAGTAAACTTCAAGTTTTTGAAAAGTAGATTAAGCATATCTACTCTGGGCTGCCTGATTCTAAAGACTGCGAATGTCAACAAAGACCTAACGGACTCAGAGAGACAACACAGGGGAGTAAAGTTAACCAGATGTTAACAAAATGGTCATGCACACATGGCAAATAAGTGGTAAGTGACACCTAGCCACAGGAAGTGGAAATCCTCAGGGCGTGAAGGGTTAGGAAGAACTGGAGAACTTGTGCTCTATCCACACCCCGCCCAAGTCCAGCTACGGGCTACCTTGTAAGGCTGTGGGTATAACATTGCAAGATCCTTCTTTTTCAACAAAAACCAGAAAACCTTATTTTTATTTAAAATCTCTCAATTTTTTAAATTTTGTCTCATTTTTTAAAAAAATGTCACTTTATTCAAATGAAATACAATTTTGGAAGGGATCCCAGCAGAGTTCCAGTTTGAAATATGTTCTAGAGGGTAAAACTCGAGCTAGAGGATGAAAATTCTAGAGTCAGCTTTGTAGTATAACTGACATACATTTTGGCAGGTAGAAATCTTCAATCATATTATAGCGATACTTTGTGAAATAGTAAGTGCACTGTCTCAGAAGTACCTCAGCAGAAACTAGTGCTCATCATTATGGGATACTGGTGAGAAGAATCTTGCATTGGTTGGTCAGAAAAGACTTGAGTGGAAGTCTACAGGTTGACTCTGAAATTTTTCAAATGAGCTTAGAGAACATTCTTATCTAAAAGAGATCCTAAAGAAGTAAAAATAATGTGTGAGGACTACATAATTTAATTGGAATTTTAGACACATTGCTAAAAGACACAATGAAGAAAACCGAAAACAGTAGATTATTCATTTCTGATTATAGGTAAGACCACACTGAAGACATACACATTGTACATTCTCTAATAGATTAGGATTTTAATGAATGCAAATCCAAATCTCCTTCTGTCATGTTAAAAAATAAAATTCTCCTTGGCCTATGCCATGTTTTAGGATATTTAAAATGAAAGGCACATGGTTTGCAGGCATCAATGCCTGGATTCTTGTCCTTTCTCTGTTATTCACAAGACATATGACCAGGACGAGTCACATTTCTCATTTACCAAACAACTTGAATCATTTACCATCTTTTCAATTTCAGTACTGCTAAATAATAAACCCCACTTTCCCTTCTTCTCTTGCTTACTTTGCTGATTTCCTCATGTCCTAGGAAGCAGTAAAATTTGTCTTTTTCTAGACTGCAGTGACCTAAATTTGTCCACTACCATGAAGTAGGACTGCAAAGTGACAATACAAGCAGTAAGGATGGAGAAATTTTATTATCAGAGAATAGGAGGACAAAGTAAGGAATTCCTACCTGAAATTACAGACAACGAGGTACTCCAAATATGAAAAGGTCTATTACTGAGTCACCAACCTCTTAAAAGTTCACCCTGAGTGATACAAAAACCAAACCAAAACTCAGAAATTCCTATATGGAAGCCACCCTTTTTCTTTGTGCTTGTAGGACATTTGACAATCTTCAGATTGCATTCCTGTAACCCCTTGTAAAATGAATATTTATGTCTCAAATCTCACTTAGGTGACAAACTCAATTTTAACTTCAAATATGCAGCTATAAGGGAAAAGATGGCCACACCACATTTTAAAAAGTAGTTACAGCAATCTTCCTCACATGACAAATGGAAACCCTGGGTGCATTTAATATTATAAGAAACAAAGAAAAAAAAAGAACTTTGACAGAAGATTGATTAGTGAAAGGGAATAATGATCAGTATAAACTTTACTAATTTATGTAAATGTATACAAGGGCTGATCAAAATATTTAGCAACAATATATTCCTTATGAACTGCAAAATTGTACTAATAAAAGTATACATGGTGAATGTTTAAATTTTTGAAAGCTTATTACAATAAAATATGCATTACCATTAATCCATTTTAAAACATTCCCTCTGTTTCAAATACACTTATCCCACCTCTCTTGCCACTTTCTGAAGCAGTTCTGGAAGTTCTCTTTTGTAAGTGTTTTGTAAGATACAATAATAAATGCAGCGAATACTGCTTTGAACTTCCATCCAATGGAGAGACAGGCTCATAAAATCATTAGTGTGTCCTTATCTACCTTGTTCACCAGACCTAGTGATGTATCCTCCAAAGCCAAAATGATAAAAGAAAACATTATGAGTGAATTCAGGACAGGAAGGCGGTGAGAACAGAATAATACAAGATACGAAAGAGTTCTTCCATGAATGTTGTAGAAAGTTGGTAGAACAATAAACTGTGTTCAAAGCAAAAGGAGTGTTTCGAGGGAGTGTTTTTAAAATTTAAACATTCACTGTATTTTTAGA